TTGGATCTTGGATGATATTACCCTTTTGTTCCTCAAAGCGGGGGACAACCTCGACGCCTTTCCCGTTAAACTAGGGGCAAAAAAGGTAATTGGTAAATTATAATATGCGATTTCTAAGGTAAGGGAAATAATATTGTATGGAATTGTGGGGCGTTCAAGTGCCCATAACACAGTTCTACAAGCATCGTATCGACTAGAAACGGTGGATGTGCCGTCGGATGATAGCAAAATTTGGCTACTTTAATGGGTATGAAAACTATGGTGGGCTTAGGTTCTGTTTGGCAAAACTAGCTGAAAGCTGTGAGATTATAGCTGAAAGTTGTTAAGCTAGCTGAAAGCTATGAAATTGTAGCTGAAAGCTATGAAATTGTAGCTGAAAGCTATGAAATCGTAGCTGAAAACTGTTAGCTGTGTAGCTAGCTGATTGACTAGAGCTGTTTGACAAAAGTAGTTGTACAACTAGCTTAAATTTGTTAAATGACTAAAAAAGACATGCAATATTATTGATATAAAATTAGAATTATTAGAGGCAAAAACGAAAGAAAAAAATTGGCAGCTCCTTCCCAAAGACAAACGTTACTTGAGGTAGTTTTTCAAAAGCTACTTGTAAAAGACACAATCTTCAAAATAATCTTCTCCTATTTTTGGTCACCAAACAGCTCTACTAGTTTATTGACCAAGTCAATAAGACATAAGCTCTTAGATAAGATATTTTTTTTGGTTGCCAATCAGTGCCTTAATAATGGTATCTAATGCCGTACTTAATTTGGTGGACGATTGTTTCAGAGCTTCGTATGAAAACTAGCGGGCTTAGTCATGATCTCTTCTAGTAGCTTGTTTAATTTGATGTATGTATTTATTTATTTTTTCGAGTTCTAGAAGCTCGGCTTAGATTTCAAGTGATCAGCACAAATTGAACAGAAAGTTAACTACGATTAGGGGTGAGCACGGTTCGGTTCGGATCGGTTTTTACCAAAATTTGAACAACCGAACCGAACCATCTACAATTCAAAACCGAACCGAACCATTGCAAATCGGTTCGGTGCGGTTCGGTTCGGTTTGTTCGGTTCTAACTTCATCAAGTATAACTTTACTTCAATTTATCTTTTATATATTCTTATTACCCTATGCCAGCATGTATTTATTTTTTAACTTCACTTCAATTTATAATTCTTGCACATGTTGTGCGCGGCGGAAGCTTTCTAGGGCAACACGAACAATAACTCGAACTAAACCACAAACAATATGCAAACCACAATCACAGCAAGAACACACAATTTACGTGGTTCGGCAAGTTGCCTACGTCCACGGGGCAAGGAGGGGGGGAGTTCTTTCTACTAGAAATCAAGAGAATACAAATAGGGTTACAAATCTCTCAGACCAAACCCTAAAACAAAGCTCTAGATCTCTCAAAGCTCTCTAACAATTGGATGCAATGATTCTCTCTCTTTGGCTGCTCAAATTCGTCCAACCTCTCTCCTAAACAAACATGTTTAGGTATATATAGAACTTACAAAACGAACCGGGTCGAAAACCTGAAAGCCCAGCCCAAAACAGCGTCGGTCGACCGGACCGGTCGACCGCGATCAATTCCGGTCGACCGGTCCGGTCGACCGACCAGCTCCCAGCAGAAAACCCAAAACTCCAGAGAACCCCTCGGTCGACCGCACCGGTCGACCGACCACCTTCCTGACGCACAGTAAGCTTTGTGCACGAATGCGGTCGACCGGACCGGTCGACCGCCGCCTGGTTTGCCTGATTCTTCTGAGTTTCTGTAATTTCTTCAATAGCTTGGTGTATTATAAAATAAAGTGATACATCAAGTTAATTCTTTGCTTATTCTTTATTTTGAAACGTCTACGTGGATGAATCAGTTCTCTATTCATCTAGGAAGCCAACAGTTATAAGGCTTAAATTACACTGAAAGACTGCCTACGTATCCTCTTGCCCAAGGAATCAAGCTGAACGTAGTTCATACTAATGGCCTCCAAAGGCCTCAGCACTGAAGGATGTTCAAAAGCTTCAAACAATGACCAAATTTCACTCCTGAAATAACTTTGGTCAACATATCTGCAGGGCTGTCATTTGTGTGGACCTTCTCCAATATGACATCTCCATCATCCAAGACGTCCCGTACAAAGTGGAATCTGTCATTTGTGTGGACCTTCTCCAATATGACATCTCCATCATCCAAGACGTCCCGTACAAAGTGGAATCCGACGTCGATGTGCTTCGTACGCGCATGATAAACCTGGTTCTTCGCCAAATAGATAGCCGACATACTATCACAATATATCTGAATCGTCTCCTAAGCAATCCCCAAGTCCTCCAATAATCCACACAACCATAAAGACTCCTTGATAGCTTCAGTAACTGCCATATACTCTGCCTCTGTAGTAGAGAGAGCCACTGTGGACTGAAGCGTGCAACGCCAACATACAGGTGCACCTGCCAATGTAAAAGCATAACCTGAAGTAGACCGTCTGAATCCACATATCCAATACAAGCCTGCCCATCCTTCTCATCCTTCTGAAATACTAAACCAACATCCACGGTGCCTCGAACATACCGTAGAATCCACTTCACGGCCTCCCAGTGACCCTTCCCGGGATCGTGCATGTATCTCGATACCATGCTCACGGCCTGTGACAAATCTGGCCTCGTACACACCATCGCATACATCAAGCTACCTACTACACTGGCATATGGGACCTTCGACATATAATCTCTGTCCTCAACTGAAACGGGTGACATCAACGCTGAAAGCTTGAAGTGGGGAGCCAATGGTGTGCTAACTGCTTTTGCATTGCCATCAAAGCTGAATTTCTTCAACATCTTCTGCAAGTAGCTCTTCTGTGTAAGCTTCAATTTCCCCTTCACCCTGTCTCGCTCGATCTCCATACCCAATATCTTCTTTGCCTCTCCAAGATCCTTCATCTCAAACTCGGATGATAACTCCTTTTTCAGCTTTCGAATAGCTGAAGAATTCCTGGAAGCAATAAGCATATCATCAACATATAAAAGCAAATATATGAGCTCACCATCCTGTAGCTTGTGCATATAAACACATGGGTCATATGGGCTCCTCGTGTACCCTCGGCCAATCATAAAGCCGTCGAATCTCTTATACCACTGTCTTGGTGACTGTTTCAAACCATAAAGAGACTTCTTCAGCTTACAAACTAAATTTTCCTTTCCTGCAGTTTTGAAACCCTGTGGTTGTGTCATGTAGATCTCCTCATCTAAATCACCGTGTAGAAAGGCTGTCTTCACATCCATCTGGACCAAATCCAAATCCAACTGTGCCACAAATGCCAATAAAATCCGAATCGACGAATGCTTCACAACGGGTGAAAATACCTCGTTGTAATCAATGCCCTCAAGCTATGCATATCCCTTGGCAACTAATCTGGCTTTGAACCGAATGTCCCCAATAGAAGATCCCTCCTTCTTCGCATATACCCACTTGCAACCAATAGCTTTCTTACCCTTAGGTAGATGTGCAAGTGTCCAAGTGTCGTTCTTCTGAAGAGATCGCATCTCCTCCTCCATAGCTTCCCTCCACCTGATCGAATCGGGGCTAGACTCTGCCTCCTTGAATGTGGCTGAGACCATATCATCAACGACCTCCACTGATAATGCATATGCGACCATGACATCATTATACCTAGCTGGCCGACGAATCTCTCTCCTCGGTCTATCTGCTGCAATGGTCCTCTGAACATGACCCTGTTCCTGAGTCACATGATCCACTGTATCTTCTATCTGCCCAACTATCACCTTATCTCCTCCCAGTGTCACCTCTGTAGGAGCCTCAATGGATACAGTGTTCTCTGGAGTGGGTGGAGTCACATCAACCTCCACCTGCTGCGATATCTCTCCTGTCTGGTCTCCCTCCACCTGCTGAGGGGCTCGAGGCCTCATCATGTACGCCTCGTCAAATGTGACATCTCTGCTAATAACTATCTTCTTGTCCTGTGGATCCCATAATTTGAAGCCTTTGACTCTATCTCTAAATCCCACAAAGACTGCTTTCCTCGCTCTCGGATTTAATTTACCATCACTGACATGATAATAAGCTGGACACCCGAATATCCGAAGCGACTCATAGTCAATAGCCTCCGAACCAAACCAACGCTCCAAAGGAGTCTTCCCGTCTATCGCAGTGCACGGCAACCTGTTCACAAGATGGCTCGCATAAACCAACGCCTCGGCCCAAAAAGATCTAGGCAATCCACTCTGCGTCATCATACACCGCACCTTCTCCAGCAAGGTACGGTTCAATCTCTCAGCCACCCCGTTCTGTTGCGGTGTCTCTCGAACTGTGAAGTGTCTTCTAATGCCGTGATCCCGGCAAAACTGCAGAAACGGATCACTCTTGTACTCTCCACCGTTATCTGAACGTAGAGTCTTCACCTTTCTACCTGTCTGCAGCTCCACTTTCTTTTTCCACTCCACAAAAATATCCAGGACCTGATGTTTATGCTTCATCGGGTATACCCAATTCCTCCTGGAATAATCATCAATGAAAGTGACAAAATAGTTGGCCCCACCAAGAGATGTGTTCTTGGAAGGACCCCAAACGTCTGTGTGAATATAATCCAATGTACCTTGGGTGTTATGAACAGCGGTGTCAAACTTCACTCTAGTCTTCTTACCAAGTACACAATGCTCACACAACTCCATCTTGCAGGTCTTAGCACCTTTCAATAGTCCCTGTTTAGCCAATGACTGTAGGGACTTATCTCCTGTGTGTCCAAGTCTCATGTGCCATAAGGTGGTAGTGTCCTCCTCTGTAGTGATAGAAGCTGCCAGACCCCCTGTAACTGTCTTGCCCTTCAAGTAGTATAGGTAGTTTTCCCTGACACCTCGCATCACCACCATAGAACCCTTCGTGACCTTCACTGTAGCATCCTCTAAGATCACTCGATATCCTGCTGCCTCCAAAGTCCCAAGAGAAATGATGTTCTTCGTCAACTGCGGCACGAACCTCACTTCCTTCAATTCCCTCACTACACCATCATGCATCCTGATCCGGACTGAACCAATACCACCAATAGGGCATACGTGATCATTACCCATAAGCACGACATCCCCTCTTTCCAGCTCCTCAAAGCTAGAAAACCACTCCCTCTTAGGGCAGATGTGATATGTAGCTCCCGAATCCATCATCCACTCCGTGGAATCCGCATAGCAAACCGACGGTAAAGCAGGGCATGAATAGCCTGAAGAATCTGAATCTGAATGCTCACCAATAGCTTTTGCCTCCGTGAAATCCGCATAGCAAACCGACGGTAAAGCAGTGCATGAATAGCCTGAAGAATCTGAATCTGAATGCTCACCAATAGCTTTTGCAACATTCACTTCTGAAGCTTGTGCAGCTTTCCCCTTATTCTTTCCGGCTTTTTCTTTCCACTTTGGGCAGTCAATCTTCCAATGTCCTTCTTCTTTACAATACCGACATTGATTTCTACCAACACTCTTATAGGCACTCCTATTCTTTGACTTTGAGCGGTTAAACTGACGACGGTTTGGATCTCGGCCTCGAACTGCTAACGCATCTCCCGATGCCTTCTCGGAGGGTTCACCATCACTCTTCCTCAACTCATAGTTCACCAAAGCTGAGGTCACCTCCTTGTAGCTAACTGTAGTTCTTCCATTGATCATAGTGAGAACGAACGTACCATAATCATCTTCGGGCAACGAACACAGAAGTAGCATCGCCTTGTCTTCATCCTCAACTATAATATCAACATTGGCCATATCTGAAAGTAGCTTAGTGAAATTGTTGACATGCTCCCTGATGGAAACCCCTCTCTTCATCTTGAACTGGTAAAATCTCTTCTTCAAGTGAAGCCGATTCTCAATGCTCTTCGTAAGATATTTCTCATTGAGTGTTTCCCACATCTTCTTCGCCGACGTCTCGTTCATAACATCATAAATAAGATCCGGCGTCAAGCATGACCTAATAACACCACAAGCTCTACTGTTCATCTTTCTCCAAACCTTATCCTCCAACTCAGCGGGTTTCTCTTTTAACTCAAGAGTCTCCTCCAAATTCTGTGCATCCAAAGCATCCATCACCTGACACCTCCACAATCCAAAATTGATCTTGCCATCGAACTTCGGAACATCAATCTTCGTGTTATTGATGCTCAGACTCTGTATCGCCTTTGTTAGAGACGAACCTGACGTGCTTGCATCTCCCATGTTGTCGATCTAGCTCTGATACCAATTGTTGTGCGCGGCGGAAGCTTTCTAGGGCAACACGAATAATAACTCGAACTAAACCACAAACAATATGCAAACCACAATCACAGCAAGAACACACAATTTACGTGGTTCGGCAAGTTGCCTACGTCCACGGGGCAAGGAGGGGGGAGTTCTTTCTACTAGAAATCAAGAGAATACAAATAGGGTTACAAATCTCTCAGACCAAACCCTAAAACAAAGCTCTAGATCTCTCAAAGCTCTCTCACAATTGGATGCAATGATTCTCTCTCTTTGGCTGCTCAAATTCGTCCAACCTCTCTCCTAAACAAACAGGTTTAGGTATATATAGAACTTACAAAACGAATCGGGTCGAAAACCTGAAAGCCCAGCCCAAAACAGCGTCGGTCGACCGGACCGGTCGACCGCGATCAATTCCGGTCGACCGGCCCGGTCGACCGACCAGCTCTCAGTAGAAAACCCAAACTCCAGAGAACCCCTCGGTCGACCGCACCGGTCGACCGACCACCTTCCTGACGCACAGTAAGCTTTGTGCACGAATGCGGTCGACTGGACCGGTCGACCGCCGCCTGGTTTGCCTGATTCTTCTGAGTTTCTGTAATTTCTTCAGCTCATGTATGTATATTGTTTTTAAGTGAAGTAACTTGTCCTTTTGGATTAAAAACTAGACTCTGACATTGTAATTTTTTAGTAACGGACTTGCTTTGTCTTTGGGTAAACGGGTAGGGTTTGAGGCAGGGGAATATATTCGGTTGGTTCGGGTCGGATCGGTTTGAAAAATTGTTAACCCAACCCGAACCGCCTTACTCATAAAACCGCTTTTTTCGGGTCGGTTCGGGTCGGTTCGGTCGGTTTTTTCGGTTTGAACCGAACCGTGCTCACCCCTAACTACGATTTCGTTATTTGCGATCTGGATGGATTATCGACGCTTTAACAGAAGATGTATGAACTGGGGGGGTTTTGAGTAACTGAATTCACATACACAACTGTTTAGGTTTACACTATTCTAAACTTTTCGTGTTTATATCATGATACATCAAGTTCATGATTTTTTATTTTCTGAGATAAAAGTAGAGAAAATATTCTTAGTTTACTTCAGATTTCCATGAGCTTATCCATAATAATAATCTAAAGACAACGAGCAAGGTAAAATTTGAACAGAATTAGCCAAAGGTTCTGGTTGTAATATAAAGACCATTACTTTTTTTTTTTGTGTGTGTTTCTTGCTAGCCTTTCGAAGAATTGCTCTGCGGAGCTTTTCCTCGTAACAACATGGCACTTTGACTTTCTTGTTCTTTCGTTTTCTAGTTGGACCTTTTTTCGATATTAGTATCTCATATCATTAGTATTTTAATATTAATCTCTCATATCTTCATATTTTGATATTAGTCCCCCAAACCTTTTAAGTGGGTTGAAATAAATCCCTCCATTAATTTTTTTTTATCATGACTATAATTGCAAAATCACCCCGCCCCGCCATCGTTAGCATCTTAGACAAAAAAAGAAAAATGAAATCTCTCATGCCTGCGTTCTTTAACAAAGTAGAAGAAGAAATAAGAAGCACCCAAATAGCTAAACTAGCCAATTTCAATTTTGGGCAAAATTCATTGAGTATGAAAAAAGGTATGCGCTTATATACCTTATACTTTACTTACTTTGCACTTATCTATCCTCAGTTTATCTATTAGCATTTATATCACCCTATGTTCTTAAAAAGTGACATGTTAGTACCCTCTAGGCCTCTACTATGCAAACATGCAAATTTTCACCGAAAAGTTTCCATATGACACTCACAATTGATTCTATGTGTCGTATAAGAACCCTCGGGTGTAAATTTTCAGATGGGCTAATTTTAAACAATATAGGGTATATAAACATTATGAAAAATAAGTGAGGGTATATAATTGTGAAGTGAGTGAATCTATGAGGATTTAAGTGCTATTTAGCATTTTTAATCTGTCAAAATATTTAATCCGTAAAAATCTCTCCCTCTGAAGTGAGTTAATGATTTCTTTTATCTAGCGTAAGATTGAGGACAAGAGGAGCGATCTGAAGTGTAACATTAATAGTATACAATGTACGTCAATTAGGATTTCGGTTTCAAGGGTTTTCCATTTCTTCCGTTTGATTCGTTTTGTAATTTAAAGAAATGAGGCGCCACGTAGGATGCCACATCAGCTTTTTAAGAAATGTGTTTTTTCGTTTTGTAATTTAAAGAAATGAGGCGCCACGTAGGATGCCACATCAGCTTTTTAAGAAATGTGTTTTCACAACAAAAACCTCTGAAAACACTTGGAAATGTCACTTCAATGAATTTTTAATTACTAAAAGCACTGTTGGAACAGTGAAGCTGAATAAAACAGATTATTTAAATGCTTTCCCTTTTTTTTTGTTCAAACAAACACAAGAAATAGAAAACCAGTGCACTGTTACTATTGCGGCTTTTTTTTGTCTCTTGTGTGACTTGACGGTGAAATAGAGTGATTTCTTTGCGAAACAAACACAAAAAAAGAAATGTGGGAAAACTCTTGTAATGGATTGAAATCAAATGAAATGTGACATTTTCATTTCCGATTTTTTTCGGAAAACAACCAAACAGCCCCTAAATAATTATAATTGATAAGATGAACATTATTTTCAAGGATTAAAACAGCTCTATCTGAAAAGGTCTAGTCAAATTGGTAAGCCGTCTATGAGTAGTACACCAAAGTCTCACGTTCAACTCTCTTAGAAACAGCCATATGAAATTAATTTCTCGGAATATCTGAGATTAGATTGTGCATTAGGATAAGGGAAGCTTAGTTAAGCCGAGAGGTCTAGTACCATGGTTGGAACTTGGAAAGATCGTGGAGAAGTTCTCTCCTCCTCAAACCAACCAAAAAAAAAAAACAGCTCTATTTTTCATTTATGTACCCAACTAAAGATGTTTTTTTTTTTTTTTTTTACCAAATTAAAAATTCTATTTTTCATTTATGTACCCAACTAAAGATGTTTTTTTTTTTTTTTTTTTACCAAATTAAAAATAATAGAGGGAAAATATTATACATGTGATGATGTTTTAGCATGTAGATTTATTATATTGGAATCTACTTGAGAACACGCACTGATCTTTCGTCAGTTACGGGTTTCGGATCCGGTTACGCGAGCGGTCTGGATCGGACCGTGTCACGTGACGTGCGAGTGACTTTCAGGTCCCGACTAAGATTCATAAGATCCGATGGGTTACCGCCGTCCAATGGCACAGCTTCATGCCCAGTGGCACCCTCGTAGTTTCCTCGAAACTCCGAACCCAAACTTAAAACAAAGCCCCACTGCTTCTGCATAAAAAACACAGAAAAAAAGACGACAACGAGATTAGCTCAATCCTCCCCCCTCTCTGAAAACCTCGAAATTTTTATAAATTTCCGAATAATTCTTTAGTTTTCAGATTTATTTCTTTCTCAATTCGATCTGCTGCTGGGTGGGATCTTGATGGATTCTGGTGGCGAGCGGCTGGAGACCCTGCCG